AGCTGGCCAGGTGGCTCAGTGGTAGCGTGAGCAGCACACAATCGGGAGGTTGCGAGTTCAAATCACGGTTGGGTGTGAACTTTGCACATCATCCCTCCTAGGTCAGGAAAAAGAGTATACTTTGTTAGGGTTAAGTCAAGTGATTGTTGTGGTTAACCTTGCCCCTACCATGGGAACATGTAATTTTTACCACTGGCTTAGAGCTGTATACAGGAGATGCTGGGACGCTGGTGGCTTTGTATAGATGTTCAACTTCTTTCGCACCATACGTAATCAACCATGCTAATGAAAACTAACTGAACACAAAAAGCAGTTCTAAAGAAATTCGTTTTCAATGTAGAGGCAGACCCCGGGTTACAGAAGGATTAGGTTCCTGAGAACAATCTGTAACCTGAATTTTCCATATGTCGGAAATTAAACAATTTTTCCCCAAAATCAAGATAAAAACCCATAGCCAAAAATAGTTGTGTCTCCCCTACCGTTTTCTCTCAGCACTGTATCGCGCTGTTATCCGTTTTCTATCGCTAACTGTATCGCATCACTGTACATATATGCTCTGCACATTTTAATATTAATTGTTAACAAAAAGCAGTCAGTTTAACACGCAGGCTTTCGCGACCAATATCACCCATAATACAGGTTTTTGTTGGGGTTAGATCGTGTAAATATATAAATGTGTCGCTAAATCGAGCTGTCGCCTGATGAAGCTTGTTTTAATTACTGCCGAAACGTCGTAATCAGATTGTAAATGTTGTGGCTTGGCTCTCCAAAACACCGGTGTGCTGTACTAGTAACGAATTGGCATGTTCTGTTTACGTGACAAACCTTACTAATTGGCTGTCGGGTTTAATGACATATTTACGCGATCTAACCACCCAAAAAAACCTGTATTATGGAGAAAGCAGTCACTTCCTATTGTTCGTTTACCTGCATTAGGCTAGGCCTAGACTTTATACTCACACATATGCACACATAGACAAAGGTTGAGTAGGCTTGTCCACAAACACATACAAATACACAGACCATACAGTAAATAACTCACGAAATAAACTTAAAATGAAGAAAGCTAGCAATAGAAATATGGGGGAAAAAAGTTAGAAGCATAGAAAACAATTACGTAACGCTACAAAAGGAAAATAATTACGTAACGCTACAAAAATGATATTTACCTTAATCCTAATGAAACAAGGGCTCGGTGAAAGCGGCGTATACATCCGCATCCTCACCTCGGTGCACTATTTGCACTTACATAACTAACGCAAACATTTCCGCAAATTTCATTTATTTTTTAACACATTTTATGGGAGCATTTCCATAAGTCGGATTTCTCTAAGTCGGGTCTTCCATAACCCGGGGACTGCCTGTAGATTTAAAGTGCACAGCTCCAGTGGCTTCCTAATGTCACAAGGAAGAGCATTCCAGACGGCTGTAGAAGCACAATTCAAAGCATTGCGATGCGGTAACCGTCTGTTCGATGGCTAACCAAAAGCCGCGACGAGGGTGGCCGGCTTGGTTTACGCTCCTAGACGAGATCAGCAAGGTATTGTGGTTCATTTGCTGTTTTCTTCGGATGCTCCAGGTTCCTCCCACATGCATAATCACACTCATTAAGGGAGTTGAACAAACATCCCACGAAAGGACCACGGAACTTGGGCAATCGTTCGTGCCAGTTCTAGCTGCCTTCCTTCTCACTTGTGATCTGTGATTGCCCGTGTGAAAAATATGCACGTCACCAATTCTACAGCGTTTTGAGATGCAATGTGCATGAACAACGCTTTATAAAAAAAAAACTCCACACGTTCATCAAAAACAATGTGGCCTTAAAGAAAAAGTATATAATAGGTGACCTTTTGGGCAAAGTCCTTTCTTCAGAGCACATACACTGAGAGGCCAGACAGATAGTGGATGCGAGTTGGAGACTTTACAATATGGAGCCTGATAAGAATTTCGAATGTTTTAAAGCATATGAATATCTAACTATTAGTAGCGAGAGTAACAGAGTAGGAAATCACTTTGACTTTGCATCACATTTCGCAAAACTTAGATATTGAACAGCCTAGCCCTAGTCTTCAGCAAGCCTACACACATCTTATAAACGTACGCACCTACTTACTGACAAACTGTGGGGAAACTTGGGCAATGTGGTGATAGCTTTGAGCGTGCACCTTTAATTTCAGTGTACACCGTGATTTTCTGGGTGCACTTTGAGTTTTGACATAACCATTACTGGGTGCCAATTGAGTTTCTTACATTCCTGGGTACCCTCATTGGATGCATTCCTGGATACATCTTGAGTTTCTGGCTTCGTTGACTGCGCACTGTTTTAACAATTAGCGCGGGGAGGAGAGGCAAGGATGATGATGAGAGTGCGACTCGTGCTCATATCAAAGAGCCTCAACGTGAAATTACAAGAGGTGCAGCACGCACACAGTCGTAGGCCTGGCCATCCTAGCAGTCTTACACTGCTCCCTCCTATCAAGTTACACAGCTAAATATAACCGGTCCTGTAATCTACCGGCTTTGGGAACGCAATGTCGCGCTCACACTACACGCTATCTCCATATTTGCCAGTGCTCACACTACTCAAGTTTCTGATCCATCGTCTTTGGTGAGGCCAGAGTTGTAGAGAACGGGACACACAGTGAGCTAAGCGTCAGTGTGAAGTGACCGCGGTGTTATGGAACCACAGCCATGACTGATGCCGGTGGCAACAATCAGAGAGGCGGTGCCGAACTGCTTTGACTAATGGATTTCTGTAATCGTGACCTCACGGCTCAGTTCTTCGTCATCAGGAAACAATGCAGATTGGTAACAGCTTAAAATACACACATAGACAGTACTTAGTCACGGGGCACAGTGGCCCTTGCTGACAATTGCACTAAATCAGTGACAATGTTACATTTAGAAATTAAAAAGACGAGTAAAAATGTATCAACTATGTGCAATATGTGGATCATACACCCCCACTCAACAAAATAAAAAATCCGGCAATACACCTCCCTCACATCTGATACTCCAAAACAAGCCTATTCTTTACACATCCAATCAGCCACACGGTTTTCTAAGAGAGCATCATTCGGCAAGAATTGGTTCAACAGAAATAAACTCTGGACCTGTTTCAACATTCAGTGTCTCAATAGCAGAGCCACGCTTGCTTCAACCAATGTTAGTGATTTACAGATATTCATGAAGATGGATCCTAACCATTAGTGTGGTAGTGAAGTAATAAAATACATGGAAGGTTATTTTACAAGGAATGTTAGATTAAATACACATTATTTTGACTGTTTGCTTCTCAATACTAGTGGTGCAGGGACGAAGGGGCAATGGGAACTGTGATTCTTTGAGATGAAGTTCTCTGGTGCAAGTAGGCTAGGGATCAATGCGACCTCATAATGAAGAGCCCCAGGACCAACGTTTCCTGGCAACTGGGGTCCTGAACAGGGCTGCCTGAGAGGAATTTGTAAACTAAAGGCACCTGTCACGCTTCATCTTCTTACTGATCGTCAGCGGTTGCTAATTCCATCCCGGGTGCTGCCAACACGAAAACAGCCCTGCCAGTAAAATCATGGCAGCCTCTCTCATATGTCCCAGCCTCGGACACCCACTCTCAAAAGACAAGGCCCACAGACCCCTAAACTGAGCAACTGAGACCTATAAACCCAGTAAAGGAGGATCTGAGACTCCAAGGCCATACAAACATGATACCTACACCAAGATGCCAAGACCCCTAAATACAGACCTCAAAGACTCAAGATTCTGAGGTTCCAAGACATAGAAAACCAGACCCCAAAACTCATAAACCTAGACCCCTGCAAACAGACTCCGAGCCCCCTTAAATCCCTAAGCCAATACCCAGAGACATAAATACCCCTTGACCAGAAATTGCTCAAACCAGACCCGACCCTGGGACTATTAAACCGAAATCCTAAGACTCTCAGGCACCTTATCAGCAAAATCCAAAACTTCAGACCCCTGAATCCATATTTTCAGTCACCTCAGCTCGGACCACACAACTTGGATAGCTAGACCCCAAATGCTATGAGACCTTCATACACACAATCCCAGACCCCCAGATACTGGGTCTTCAAACAAGACAGTGACACAGGAATGATGTTTTAATACCATCCCTTCCCGTCAGAATGTCCCATCCCCATCATGTGACCTTGACATTTCCATCCCATCCTGTGATCTTCTCTGAGTACACATGCAGGCATCAGAACAGCACAAATTACTGAAACACAAAATAACTATGAGGGTCATTGGACAATGCTAATCATTATTTTGTGTTGTGTTACATAGTCTTGGTTTAGACTGAGATCCATATCTAACAGAGAAGGTATATAAACATGTGGCACTTCTCCAGCACTGGTTTAAGCAAGCCTGACTGCTGATAAGACACTGAATGTCAAAGTCAGTCCATAGGTTGCTATGCTAAAGCATGCTGCTGAAAAAAATAACTCCCAGAAGGCTCTATGGCCAATGGGGTGTGTAATTACTTTTATTAATCATGATGCTAAAGTTATGGGAAGGAGACATTTTTGGGTTATTTATTTCGTAAATTATTGAAAGACAAAACATTCATTTTGATGACATTTAAAGTAAAATTAAGGGACTGTGTTGGCAGTGGTGGACAGTAGAAGCAGGCCATCAGAACATTCCTGATGAGCACTGCCTTACAAAAGAAAATGTGACAGGCTAACGATGCGGGCAGTATACTTCTTCCGAGCACAGAGAGCATTGATTAAACAAAGGGGCTAACTTACATTTGGAGTTTACACCGTAAAATGTCTGTCGCAGAGAGACAATATACCTTTAGGAGTAAATCAATAGTTTTGAATTGACATGATCAGCGTTCCCTTGCGAGCGGCTCTATGATATGGTGATTTATCCTGCACGGTATCCATGCCAAAGCCTGCGCCCTCCCCACTGAACCCAACACCATAACCAGTAGAATTTTTTTTCGCGCCTCCCAAACAAAAGGTTGGGGAACCGCTGACCTGCGCCCCGAGCCCAGACCCCGGCGGTTGCTCCCCTTGGGCCGAGCTCTGCCTCGAGAGGGGCCCCGCGACGCCGCAGTCCGAGACGACGCGCCGCCTCCACAAATCGTGTCGCGCATACGCACACCTCGTGACCGCGCGCGACCAATGGCGTCCGGCCGTTGGCCCTGAGATGACCGTTACTTCCCCAATAACAAACATGAACAGACACAACACACCTCATACAACACACACGCATCACCACAACACACGCATCACCACACAACACACACCCCACACACAACACACACGCATCACCACAACACACACGCTTCACAACAGCACACATCCCACACACAGCACACACGCATCACAACACACACCCCACACAACACTCACGCAACAAAATAACACACACCCCACACCAATACACACAACACACACAATACTTAGACCACATACACAACACACACATTTACACAACACACACAACGCACACACTACGCTACTTAAGAATTCCCTCGTCTCCTTCCCCAAGCTCTTACAATAACCTTTCTCAATAAAAAAAAACGTGTTATACTCGTATCTATTACAACGTTGACAGTGCTGTTTGTTGCCGGTCGCTTGACGTTCTGCATCTTTGGGTCGGTGTCCTTAGCAGCTTTGTTTTCAAATGCAGCGGCTACGCAAGGACGGTAGGGAGCAACACGGGACCGAGGGTTCGCGGGGCCATCACGCAGCGCAGAGACGTCTCCTGCACAGCACCGCACACACTGGGACCCCTATCTCCCGTCGTTGTCTCTTTCCCCCGAGCGATTCCAGGAACAACCTGGCTCATTTCAAGTAGCGTGTGTTTAACGCTTGTCTGTCACAACTTTGACGGCGCTGTTTGTTGCTGGCCGCAAGGCGTTTATAACTTTGGGGCCTGTGCTCAGCAACTGTGTTCAAGGAAAAAAAACCCACCACCAGAAGAAGATCGCGGACCACACACACACACGAGCGTACCTCGCCAATCCGCCCGGGGCGACTCAGCGTCTCGCTTGGACCGGGGGCGGCGTGGCGGCTTGACCCATGCCGCAGAGACGGCGAGGAGACGAAGCGGGGGAGACGAAGCGGGGAGACGAAGCGGGGCCCGCTCTCTCCCTCTCCTCTCACCGCCGGTGACGTCAGCCGCACCACGTGAGCTCGGCGTCCGTCGCCGCGGCAACGGAAAGCGGAGACGTCACGCGCCAGGCGCACGTGGTGTTACCCCTGCGCGGGGGAGGGCAGAGGAGCGATGCTCACAACAACGACCAGAGCGTCGGGCGGTTAAAACGCAGAACGTTAATACATCTGCCAGACATTTCAATCAGTCAACCCATGGCACCTGGGTCTGTTTCGTGACGTACTGCCAGCCGGCCTTCGACACTTTACGTGTCCTCAAAGTGCACCGAGCATGGTGCAAACGCCATGGGGACGTCAGTGGTGAACTGTGCTTCTTGTTATATTATATTCTTAGCTCTTTCGGTAAAGTCACGTTGAAGGGAAACAATAAAATATATAAAACAATAAAAATTATCACGTTTTCGACCATAACACAAACGGTCGTCATCAGGTGTGTCGGTTTGCATACATTTATTTTTAAACCGTGTATTTATTTATTTAAAAACCGTCAGCGCCACGCGCACGGATTTGGCAGTTTATTTAGAAGGGCGAGTCCATCTATGTTCTGAAAAGAGGAGGGGGGAGACGAAAAATTAATGTATGCTGTCTGAAAGCCACTGTAAGCGTGAACAATCAATTAAGACCTGAAATGGTTTATTAAATCTTTCCAATGATTGCTAAGCCAGAATCCATCTTCTCGGTTGAAATTGTCTCTGTGCTTGTATATGTGGATAGCCTCATGAACGAATCTCATGGTAGCCAGATGGCTTACAAAGAACCTCTGTCTTGGAGAAGTCAATGTCATGTGAGCCTACTGAATTATAACAGTGATCTGCCACGGCCGAGGTGTTGGTCCTACCGTGTTTAAGGTCTGCTTTGTGTTCACGAATGCGGTCCGAGACATGGAGTTTGGTTTCTCCAATGTAACTACTACCACAGAGGCAACTTAGTTTGTAGACACCAGGGTACTGTATGTCCGGAATCACATCTTTTAATAAATACGCCGTTTAAAAATAAATAAATTAATGCAAACCGACACACCTGATGACGACCGTTTGTGTTTTGGTCGAAACGTCGTGAGAATTTTTATTGTTTCATATATATTTTATTATTTTATTGTTTCCCTTCAACGTGACTTTACCGAAAGAGCTAAGAATATGAATTACTGCAGTCACGAAAGCTTTAAATCAAAATGTGCTTCTTGTTGTTGCACGGGGGAGGAAGAGGTGTTTGTCCGCGGAAGGAGAGCCCAACTGAACCTGACTCCCTGATACCCTTCAGCAAAAAATTCCAGTCCAGGTGCATCAGAAGCGAAGGTGCAGAGATCGCCCACATGGAACTGTGCGAGTCGGAGAGAGAATTTGCTTTTAAATGTAAACTCGCCGAGTTCACATTTACAACAAATTTCTCTCTCCGACTCGCACTCTCCTGCTCGCTCCTTCATTAAAATTAGCTGCCCCGCACATCTCTAAACCTTTATAAACAGCCTGCCTCAGCAGATTCCCCCTCTTTTTCACCTGAAGACGGTTGCTTGTGTTCCGATCGAAACGTCTTGATCTATTATTATTTTCTACCTACATGATTTTAGTGCATATATCACCCCCCAGGGGTCGGTGGACTTGGCTCTTCTCTGCATCCCCAGAACGTAGCTCAAGTTCATGGGGCAATCTGTGGGCCTTCGCTTCTGTTGCACCTGGACCATGGAACACTCCCCCGATGGGTGTCAGGAAGTCCGGTTCGGTTGGGATCACGAAGTCATTCCTCCTGTACATTGCATATATCCACGTGCAACTCTCGATGGCAAAACACTGCCCATGGCATGCAAATTGGAGCTTGGCAGAAAGGACTTGCCCCTGAAGCCCATGGGAAAGAACTGACGCAAAACAATGAGGGATGCAGGTTCGAGTTTGTGTGCAAGTTGTGAGGTTTTCCAAAAAGCACTGCGCTACGATTTCATCTTCAACGAGCACACTGGAAGCAGGCCACCAATCCACAGCTTGCCCTACAGTCACTTGCAACAGTGGGCTGGAACATTCGAAGATGGATAGCTGTCGCCAAAGCTTGTACACTTGCTCCAATTCCAGAGTCGTGCAAGGATATTGTCTCACGTGGATGCACAAAGTGATGCACATCGATTGATTTGCACCGGAGCTTGCAAGTTTGGCAGACAGTGTCAGCATTTGTAGGAGCAAATTTGGAAGAAAGAATACCTGCTGTTATGTGAAGAAAGTGTTCTACAAGTTGGATATGTTTGAATCGGAAGTGCCTTGTGACTCGACATAACTATTTGGAGTTAACCAGTCATGACAGGGGATGCATATACATGTCAGTTGCGTTTTGTGAGTTAAATTTATATGAACACAAATCAAGGATGCGCAATATGTATGTGTTACATAATTTCCCGTAACTATTTTCCATTGCAATGTTCTTCGTAATAATTTACACCCATATAATTTTAACATAGCCATATTCTATGGCCAGTGTGTTTGTAAGCATCAAAAACATGTTCGAGGACGCAACCATCATGCCATGTTAGCACCACTCACTTTTAGAACTATCTTGTTTCCTGGTTTCTGCTCCCTTCCATGGCCTTTTTAATGTCCTGTCCTAATTTAAGATCTGCACTTCTTGCACGCGTGGTTTGCGACCCCCACGCTAGTTGGTGTCATTTCTGTATTACCTACTGCCAGTGTTACTTGAATGGTGCATAGATCGAATGTTATTTTCATAGATTGTATGTTATTCGCTGCTGTAACTTCATTTTTTCGCCAAGGTCTTTCGCGGATCATTCTTGTAAACCAGCTTAAAGATTTGAACGCTGCAACTGTCCCGCAGTGACGGCAGGGGACAGTCGTGCTCTGTGGTTTTCGTGAGAACCCTCGCATCCCGTCTCCTATATCGATAACACTAAACGATTAACCCACCCAGCATTCGAATATTTTACGACTGAAAATCAGAGTTCAAAAATCTTTGTTTTGTCTCAATCTCTCGGTCTGCAATGTTTGTATTGTCGCTGTCATCTGTGCTCTGTCTAGTTTGATATAGCCACACATTTATTTTCCCTGAGTTGCTTACTTTTCATATACAGTACTTCGCACTCCTATCTTTATGTATTGTTTGTTATTCTTGGTTCTTTCGGTAAAGTCACGTAGAAGGGAAACAAGAATATGAATCCCTGCAGTCACGAAAGCTTAAAATCAAAAAGTATTGTTTGTTGTAACTTTCTGACCCGACACTTCTGGACATCTATGAACAAGAGGTTCATAGTTTAACACGTAGGCTTTCGCGACCAATATTATTCATAATAAAGGTTTTTGGGTTAGATCGCGTTTATTTATAAATGTGTCGTAACCCTCCACCACCCGACACGGCCAATCAGCAAAGAAAAGTGTCACGTTGACAAAAGACAAATAATTCACTACTTCAGCCCACCGGTGTGTTGAAGAGTTAATCCACATTTACAGTTTGAGTACGACGTTTCGCTGGTAAATACTTCCAGCATCATCGGGCAATTCACCATTCTGGCGGGCAATTCACCATTCTGGCGAATTGCCCGATGATGCTGGAAGTATTTACCAGCGAAACGTCGTACTCAAACTGTAAATGTGGATTAACTCTTCAACACACCGGTGGGCTGAAGTAGTGAATTATTTGTCTTTTGTCAACGTGACACTTTTCTTTGCTGATTGGCCGTGTCGGGTGGTGGAGGGTTACGACACATTTATAAATAAACGCGATCTAACCCAAAAACCTTTATTATGAAGAGGTTCATAGCTCATCGGATTTTTTTCCAGGATAAATAAAGATTCTGATTTGGATTTCGTGTATTGTATATGTGGTGCCACCGCAACGGAGCCGCTCCGTCGGGGCCGTACCCACCGCCGTGACGCCGCCACCAAGGAGCGACGGCACCGACGCTACTCGCCCCTCACTGCCCCCCACATGAACGCACGCATACCCCACATAGAGCCCGAGGGGAAGTCACCTGGCCGGCAGGTTTTCGTCCAGAAGCCCCTAATGGGATCAAGCTTCATGGTTTCCTACGGCCAGGGAATTGGACGACCTACCCCCGAGGTTGACGTGCACCGCGGCGCCGTGACTTTGGATTGTAATTGCATGGTCACGGCAGGAGCTGTAGAGCCACCGCGGGTAGAAACACGCACACGCAACACGGGTCAGTAGGCTGGTAGAGGGAGGAGCAGAAAGCGGACGTCGAGGGGACCACTGCGGTGACGTCACCAGAGCTAGGATCCGACTATCAAAAGAGCGGGAAAATCCGGGCCCCTGATTGGACGGGAGACGAAGGGAGCGAAACAGCGGGGCGCCTTTGTTGTGGGTACGATAAAAGGAGGGTGATTTAGGCAGTGAGGCAGTCGTGCTCTTCAAGGGATCGAGGTCAGCCGGGTGTTGGAGCAAGCCGTTCGAGTCGTCCGTGTGACGAGTTTCAACGCAGCCAGGCCCAATTCCCCACGGAGACGACGCACAGGCGCGCCCTCCCACGACTTCTTGCGCATGGAGTAGGATCAGAGGTAAGTGCGGGAGAGGTGTACTTGGGCTAAATAACAACGGGAGAATAAGGGAGCACCCAGCCGGATAGGTTACGAGGGATAGGTTAGGATTAAGTCCCGGTTAACCGAGGGATAGACTAGCGTCTGCTGACCCACATTGGCACTCTGAGCTACGTTGGATTTGTTGCAGAGAATAAATCGTCAGGAGAGTTTAAACCGTGTCGTGTGGTCTCTGTGAGCACGGAAAGGAGGGTGGAGTGTCGTGGGTCGGGTCGCCGGGGCGCACGGTAATTACATCCAACCGTTTGGTAGAGCGCCTGGTGTTCGCGTACACGCGCGGCTGTTTAAACGGCCTTTAAATCGGGGCGGAGTTACCTCCTCCAATCGGCGGCGCGCGCACGGTGGACGCCCCTGCCCTCTGACCCCCGACCCCGAGTCCCGTGCGTGGGCGCTCGGTGCGGCCGCGGAGCTGCGCGTCGGCGCGCTGTATCCCTTTATTTACGCACGAGACGGGGTTTCACTCCACGGGCGCGCTCACCGCAGCACGTCCGCCCCTGAGCCCGCGTAGCGCGTCGTAAGCGTAATACGGTCAGTTCCACCAATTAAATCATGAATACGCGGAGGGCAGCAGCAAAGTTGGGGGTACAGGGGAGCGCGGAATTGGGGGGTGGTAGCCCGCACCCGACAGAGCAGTCGGGGAGTAGTAGCTCGATAATGATGGAGGAGTCGGGGGACAGCGGCCCCGACATATAGTTTTTTCATCGAACTAATTTCACCAGAGTTGGTTAATCCAGCCTGACGCTCTAATGAGACAATGCATGCTTGTGCTGAACCAATGATGCTGAAGAAAATCACTCCCAGAAGATTGTGTTGTTGATGGGATGTGTAAAAAACACTTTGTTACGTACAGGGACAGATATTATGCATGTTGTCTGCGCATTTATTTTTTGCCAGATTTGTTGATTAAGCGAGCGCATTATTCGGATACACAACTCATCAAGTGGAGGGTCGTGAAATGAATCTCCCTTAATTAGGCGCTTTCGTGACTGCAGGAATTACTCTTTGGTTTTTTCGGTAAAGTCACAGAAATAATAAAAAAATATAATAGCATACGACGTTTCGATCGCAACACAAGCAATCATCAGGTAGAGGAAACATATAACCGCAGACAGACCTTAAGTAGGGAGAATTAACACAGATATACCAAGGGATACAGAGAGACGGAACATCACACTAAATCAAACAGGGTTTAGCAAAATTTGGAAACTATATAAAGCAACACAAACGGTCGGTTAAAACACAATTCACGCATGGTTTGGTTGAATACGCTGTTTCAAAGATTGTTAAATTGTAAGTTAAGTGTGAAATTTAAGATAGTGATAGAATACTTACCGTAGAGAGACCTTTGGGGGGGAGACACGCCCACAGTTAAGGGGTAAAGTAAATCTGTCAGGCACCGGGCGCAGCAGCGCACACTTAGAGGTCCCCAGGCACACAACCATAGGTAGAGACAACACAGCGACACAGAAACACAAAGAATAGCATACGACGTAGACACACCAGCAGAGAAACACAAAGACAACAGAATTCATACCTTCCCGTAAAGGTGGTTCGAACTTGATTAGGCGCTTTCGTGACTGCAGGAATTACTCTTTGTTTTTTTCGGTAAAGTCACGTAGAAATAATAAAAAATCATAAAAAATTATATAAACGTCATTTTACTTATATATAAATTAAATGTGGATATGTAAAAACTCATATATACTTCCGATAACTTTGGCTATATGTGTATCACTCTTTTTTCGGTAAAGTCACGTAGGTGTGTTGTCTCTGCTTGTGTATCTGCCTTGGTGTCTGTGCTTGGATTTGTTTCTCTGTGCTGTCTCTGCCTGTGTGTAGGTCTTGGTGCTTCCGAATGTTTGCTGCCGTGCTCCACTTTGCTCTATGCATACCTCATGCTAGGATGTCCCATTGTCTCTCAGCCTTGCCTTCTCGTGCTGGTGTGTCCCGTTGTCTCTCAGCCTTGCCTTCTCTGCCTGTTTGGGGCGACTTCGCTGTGTGCTTGTGCCTGTGCTGGTCCGCTCTGCTTGGGTGTCTGTGTGTGTGTGTGCCGTATATGTCTTGGGTTTCACGCTTAACTTGCAATTTAGCGATCTTTGAGGTGGTGTGATCAACCAGGCTATGCGTTAGTTGTGTTTTGACCGACCGTCTGTGTTGCTTTGTATGGTTTCCGGGTTCTGCTGGGCTCTGTCTGTTTGGTATGTTTCTCTCTCTGTGTCCCCTATTGTGTCGGTGTTGGTTCCCCCTACTTGTTTGTCTGTGTACATCTGGGGTTGTGTGTTTCCCCTCTCTCGTGGGTTTGACTCTTCTGTGCCTGATGATGGCTGCTTGTGTTGCAACCGAAACGTCGTGCGCTATTATGTTATTTTATTTCTTATTTATACGTGACTTTACCGAAAAAAACAAAGATTAATTCCTGCAGTCACGAAAGCTTCGAACCAAGTATGTCTGATTGGTTCTTACCAAACTGTGGCTACGATCCACTTCACCTCGTTTGACCCCAACCGTTATGTACACATGTAACGCTGCACTGCCCCTTTGATACCTGGTGGCAATGCAGGTTACCGAACAGTGCGTAGTTAACGCCTCTACAAATACATTAAAAACAACGGTGAGTAGCCAGTGGATGTGTGATCGGCCATCCTATATGCATCCAGGACTCCGGGAATGTGTAAGTCCCAATCGAGTCATCATTTAACTCATTCATCCTGCTGCTCTATTTAAGACCGGGAGCAAGTGGGGGCTTTACCATTCTGGCGAATTGCCCGATGATGCTGGATGTAATTACCAGCGAAACGTCGTACTCAAACTGTAAATGTTGTTGTGGATTCACTCTTCAACACACCGGTGGGCTAAAGTAGTGAACTATTTGTCTTTTGTCAACGTGACACTTTTTTGCTGATTGGCCGTGTCAGGTGGTGGAGGGTTACGACACATTTATAAATAACGCGATCTAACCCAAAAACCTTTATTATTAATAATATTGGTCGCGAAAGCCTACGTGTTAAACATACAACAGTGTCCGCGATGACAATGCATCGCACGCCGTGCCTTTGCTAGAGCCAGCATTGTTCCGTGATATTCACGGTGTTGCCACATAAGTGATGTCCGTGATGTGAGTACATTGCACGCTGTGCCCCTCTAGGGCCGGCACCATAGTAACATCCGCGATGTCACTACATCTTTAACAAAATGGAAATGCTTTCTAAACATGAAACTAAAAGAGGCTTTACCTCGCAGGTGTCCCCCGGGTGCGGTTGCTGGCATCAACATCATCATAATTTTTTAGGTCGTCGGTGGCAAAACCTACATCTAATTAGGTGATGGGACTCAGATGTATGTTGGTTGAACTTATTTCGCTAATCGGAGATCCGGAGAAATCTAACGAATTTCATTGAGATAAGTGAGTTGGTAATAGCATATCAGACACCTTCCCATGCAATGGGAGAAGATGCTGCACATGTGTCTGGTGTGCGGAATGAGGCCAGACAATGGATAGCAGGCCACTTCGTATTTAAACTGAATACCGGTCAGCTGGCAGGACTGAATGAAGGCCTCTCTATTTTCATTGTATTTATTTTAGTTGAATAGTTGTACCTCACATTTTATTTCTCAGACTTCGCCTCAGCAACGTATGGCAGTTACACTCCTTTCATTCGGATGGTAATTGGACACAATAAATATTCCCACAATGCAATGTACCAGTAATATGGTTTAATTTGAATATACATTAGTTTGTTTAGAAATGTGTTTTTATTATTTAAGGGTGTTTTTTCTTTGTCAATAACTATTCTTATGCCTATCTAAAAAATGGTCATATGATCGTCCATTGGCGCGGGATACACGGCCGGGTGGAGAGTGGGTGGAGGGGAGCTTGACGTTGTCACAGACATCCCCAAGCGCACAATTTCTCGCCCGCACTCCAGCCAGCAAAATTTGTTATCATTTAGTCTAATTCTGATCAGGCCAGATGTTGTAAATGACAGTCTCCAACCCTTGTTAACTCCATCTCTCTGGCTTCTCTAGTCATGTGATATGAAGGGTCATTGTCTGAAACGTCGCCTATTTATATATTATTTTCAGGCAATATTATTGACGAATGTATTCCAACTATTCATTATTTTGTTAAGTGAGATGGTGAGTGGGGGGATGAGTGAGTGAGTGAAAAGAGTGAATCAATTATTGAGTTATATGGTGAATGAGTAAGTTGGTGAATGAGTGAATGATTTGATTGTGAAAATGAGTGGCAATTGAGTGAATCGGTATTGAAATCCGCAAGACAAAGACAAATATCCCCCGTATAACCTAAACATACGTTTGGGCAGGTGCTGTTAGTGAGCACCTATGAAGGCTGGCACGGCACACAAGGGGGTGGGTGGCCAGAACCATGCCCAACCGCCTTTACACATCACACCAGGTACTCATTTGAGGTTGAATTCACCTAAGAGAGGCCCAGGAAGGTTCCGGTAAAAGTCACTGGTGTTGACCGTGGCCGGGAATCAAACCCTGGTAGGCGGTTCGTTGCGCAGCGCGCGAACCATGACGCCACCGCTCGCACAGACTCACACACAGTCACAATACCAAGAGGGACTGGAAAATGTGCGAGAGACAGACAAAGAAGGGAGAGAAGAGAGAGTAGCTTGGATGGATGAGAGAAGAGTGGGTGGAGAGGAGAGAGTGGATGGATGAGAGAGTGGGGAACGGTGGTCACCGGAGGAGCCGCGGGGACGGAGAGCAACGCGGCCTCCTGAATACAAATGCCGCACCCTGGAATCTGCAAATCGCATTTCCCACGGAGCAATTTGATTCCCCGGTCCGCTAATCTGATGCCATTTAAATTCACTGGCCGCGTGCGCGGCGCGGTCCGAGCTGTATTGATGACTCCACGGGGGAACCGCGCAGTCCCCATTCCCATTATCACCACAATCCCCGCAACCCACCGGCCCCCACAACTCTCCTACCCCGCCCCTCACCCCACAGCCCCCAGTATCCGAGCTCATGCTTCTCCTCAGCTCCGCCCTAGGTTCCATCACGACTGAATCATCATCAGCAGCAGCAACATATAGGGCCGTCCATAGATGGGTGCGGGTCCCGCGAAAAATCTCACTGTGCCCCCCCTCCCGATACCTTCAAATTAACCTAAAGTATTACATCTGACACCGTGACATCGAAGCGCGCCCCCCCCCCCCCCCCCCAAAACGCAGGGCCCGGGGCCGTTGCCCAGATTCGCCGTGCCCTAGCGACAGCTTCGACAACATCAACACAATGAGCAATAGCAGCAACAAAACAATCAACAATAGCAGCAGCAAGAACAATCATCATCAGCAGCAGCAATATCACCATCGTCAATATCCCCACGCTGATTGTGTAAATGTATTCCTGGTCGCACATGTGTTTTTTTTTCCGTAAGGAACAGTGGCGCAGTGGTTAAATCAAGAAAACCCTGGGCCGGTTAGATGTTACATTGTTTTGTATCGAACCCATATCTAAGAAATTATGCACTCTCAGAAGGTCGTGTGGCCGTTGGGATACGTAAAAGTTATTTTATTTTTCATGTGCGCACACAAATGTGGTCGAGATGTGTATTGGCTGCTCATTTATATTCCAAAAGAGTGAGTCAGGCTTGCCATCCGCGTCTCTCCGCTCTGAAGGACCACAGCCTGTCATGTCTGCCTACGCTATAGCTACTGCTGTAACGCAGTATTGTTACATGCGACAGATGGTTATTTATTTGTGATTGCGCACAGCTACCAACGCAGTTACGTTTATAAAGCTCCATTGTGACATCGAGGAGACTGGCGTCGCTGCGGGTCTGCGCTCTGATTGCACTGCGCTTTGAAACCGTTTGTGGACGCTGCACGTGGGAAGAGGGACCACACGCTGGGGTCTCAACTGAAGGTATTCGTTTGTTATACAAAACAGGTTGGCCCCAAATTCAAGTCTTTTCGCGAATGGCCTTTTCCGTCAATTCTACCTTTTTCCGGCCTCAAACGAGATTAAAAAAAAAAGTTTTTAGCCGTCGAATACATTTTCCAAATGTATTTTTACTCAAACGAGGCAAAAAACATCTGTTAGATGTAGGTACGAGATCGACGTAACTCTGTAATACACAACATCAGTCGCGACAGCATCATTGCCATCACAACACCCAGCACCATAACTAACATCCGTTTCTTCATAGTCATCAGTGAGCGTTAGAGCGATGTGTGTGGTTTGACGCTGAGATATGAAAGTAACGTCAGGATACGGACAGTGCCGGATTATCCTAGTCGCAAAAGTAGCTACATATGCTACGGGCCCCGCACTTCCAAGGACCCCACGCTAAACGCTTTCAAGCTATCAATTCCGGTTCAGTGATTCTGCACTTGCTTTATTACTATAGTACTATACTGCCTTCAACTTTTATGAACGACTGAGTGTTTAAGGTTAGCGATTAGTCGTATTATATGGCTGTATAGCAAATAAAATATACAATTACTTTACTATGCAAGTTAATATTTGGGGTTTTAATATTTGTGTTTTTTATTCAGGGCCCCTTTATAAGATATTCTACAGGCCCCGCACTCGCTTAATGGGAGGAGAGTAGACAGAGTAGAGAGTAAGTGGAAGGTAGAGTGGGCAGGGGAGACCGGAATGGTGAGGGCTGAGGGGAGACGGCGTAGTTGGGGGATTTCGCTGGGCTGGGAGAGTCCTCTGCGGACAGACCCGCTGCTGAGCCAGCTAATGGACACGCTGCGTGCCCTTGAAAACTTCTCGCGGCTGTCGGGTTGACAGTTGCACCGCCGGTAGGATTGGTGTCGAGTCGCCTCCAATCTAAACCAACTCTAGCAGCTAAAGCCCCGCAGCCGGGCAGCGCATGGTTCGCCTTGCCTACGGTTACCCAGCATTGCATTGCTTATGCTGAACGGACCCTATCGTGGAGGTGGAGTGTACGCATGCCAACCCAAGCAGGACTATACATTTTTAACAGGACTGACTCAGCTGAATGTTGAACTCGGTCCAGTTTTGCCTGCTTAACACATGCTGCGATTAAACAATGGTCCTGAAGCCCGATAAGCTGAAGGACTAAAACATTTTCCATATAGATGGAATGTTGCTCTTTATATAACGAGAATCGTTGGCTTATTCCAAATAAACCCATTACTTTCGCCATTAACACTGAATTCAAAATAGTGTAGGTGCCAGAGAACATGCCTGTTGCACCCCAAGGGGGACAGAAAATGGCTCCGACTCCTTGCTACGCAGCTTTCCCCGCGCCTGCCCACCATCATACAGGATCTTCATTATTGCGAGCAGAGGATCAAGGATTCCGATAGCAAAAACGATAACACAGAGCCCTGGCCTATTGATGTATCATAGGCCTGAGCAGGTCAATAAAGCAGAGACGTAGGTCCTGTTGAAATTACCAAGATCTCTGCCAGTGCAGACAAACAGAAACAAATGGCGTCCGTGCAGAAGCGCTCCAGTCTGAAACCACATTGGAGTTTCGCAAGCCTCTCCTCAGCATGCTGCATGGCAAGGTGATATTGAAAAATCCTTGTCGGGACCTTTCCTGGAACACTGAGGAGGGGTATGGCCAGGGCATTCTTTTAATCCTGCAGAACCCTGCACTTGCGCACACAAAGCGCACAAACAATATTTATATATAGCGCATGTAATCCAGTGGTGCGCATGCGTGTGTATTTGTAGACTCCACTCGGGATATGATTCATTTATGCTGCATTATTTATGACTTACTCTATCTAATACACATCACAGGGGTTTGTTTTTCCCAGTTCAATCTTGTGTTTGTGTTTTCTGTCGACTGTTAACACCATCTGTGTAAGTCCATATGCGAGACTCTCCCTCTGAGAGTAGGTCTCTCCCTGAGTTTGTCCATGTATCTCTCTGTGGGTCTGTCTGTGGGTCCGCCTCTCTGTGAGTCGACCTCTCTGAGAGTTTGCCTCGGTGTGGTTCTCGCTCTGTGAGTCTGTCGTATCACCATGCCCTGGGTCACCTCCATTCGTCTGAGTCACGCGTCATGTCATGTTAAGAAAAGTGGCGCTGATGTGGGGGGGGGAGGGGGGGTCGGTGCACACTTGAGAGTGACTGTGTTTGTGGGTTTGTCTCTGTCTGTACTATTTGCATAGTGTTACATTCATGCTGTGTATGGGCGTATGTATGTACAGTGAGGGAAAAAAGTATTTGATCCCCTGCTGATTTTGTATGTTTGCCCACTGACAAAGAAAGGATTAGTCTATCATTTTAATGGTAGGTTTATTTGAACAGTGAGAGACAGAATAACAACAAGAAAATCCAGAAAAACGCATGTCAAAAATATAAGCTTATTTGCATTTTAATGAGGGAAATAAGTATTTGACCCCCTCTCAATCAGAAAGATTTCTCGCTCCCAGGTATCTTTTATACAGGTAACGAGCTGAGATTAGGAGCACACTCTTAAAGGGAGTGCTCCTAATCTCAGCTTGTTACCTGTATAAAAGACACCTGTCCACAGAAGCAATCAATCAATCAGATTCCAAACTCTCCACCATGGCCAAGACCAAAGAGCTCTCCAAGGATGTCAGGGACAGGATTGTAGACCTACACAAGGCTGGAATGGGCTATAAAACCATTGCCAAGCAGCTTGATGAGAAGGTGACAACAGTTGGTGCGATTATTCGCAAATGGAAGAAACACAAAATAACTGTCAATCTCCCTCGGCCTGGGGCTCCATGCAAGATCTCACCTCGTGGAGTTGTAATGATCATGAGAACGGTGAGGAATCAGCCCAGAACTACACGGGAGGATCTTGTTAATGATCTCAATGCAGCTGGGACCATAGTCACCAAGAAAACAATTGGTAACACACTACCCCGTGAAGGACTGAAATCCTGCAGCGCCCGCAAGGTTCCCCTGCTCAAGAAAGCACATATACATGCCCGTCTGAAGTTTGCCAATAAACATCTGAATGGTTCAGAGGACAACTGGGTGAAAGTGCTGTGGTCAGATGAGACCAAAATGGAGCTCTTTGGCATCAACTCAACTCGCTGTGTTTGGAGGAGGAATGCTGCCTATGACCCCAAGAACACCATCCCCACCGTCAAACATGGAGGTGGAAACATTATGCTTTGGGGGTGTTTTTCTGCTAAGGGGACAGGATAACTTCACCGCATCAAAGAGACGATGGACGGGGCCATGTACCGTCAAATCTTGGGTGAGAACCTCCTTCCCTCAGCCAGGGCATTGAAAATCGGTCGTGGATGGGTATTCCAGCATGACAATGACCCAAAACAAACGGCCAAGGCAACAAAGGAGTGGCTCAAGGAGAAGCACATTAAGGTCCTGGAGTGGCCTAGCCAGTCTCCAGACCTTAATCCCATAGAAAATCTGTGGAGGGAGCTGAAGGTTCGAGTTGCCAAACGTCAGCCTCGAAACCTTAATGACTTGGAGAAGATCTGCAAAGAGGAGTGGGACAAAATCTCTCCTGAGATGTGTGCAAACCTGGTGGCCAACTGCAAGAAACGTCTGACCTCTGTGATTGCCAACAAGGGTTTTGCCACCAAGTACTAAGTCATGTTTTGCAGAGGGGTCAAATACTTATTTCCCTCATTAAAATGCAAATAAATTTATAACATTTTTGACATGCGTTTCTCTGGATTTTTTTGTTATTATTCTGTCTCTCTTCAAATAAACCTACCATTAAAATTATAGACTGATCATTTCTTTGTCAGTGGGCAAACGTAAAAAATCAGCAGGGGATCAAATACTTTTTTCCCTCACTGTATGTGTCTGTCAAATACACAGCAGAGAATAGAGGGGCAGCTGTTAGCGCCCTGCACAGTTAACCCAGCAACCCGAGTTCGATTTCTGCACACGGCCAATGATGATCATCTGAACCAGTCCTGGGCCTCCCCTAGGTCAACTCAGCCTTAAATTAGTATGTGGTGTGCAAACATCAACACTGGGGAGACCAAAGATGGCCGGGTGTTGTGCTGGCCCCCCACAACCCTTCGTGTGCCGTGGCGGACTTTATAGGTCCGCACTCACAGCACCTGCCCCAACAGGCTGTTCAGGTTATACGAGAGATCTTTGTCTTTTTATTTGTCTTCCAAACAACATCCACTACCTCGTGCCGTCAGATGCTAGCACCGGTGCGTTGTGGGAAATGCCTTTGAGGGAAAGAGTGACATTAGTCAGTTAATTACTTTCACGCCATGATCACATCCACCACATTGGCAAATGGGTCTCTGGTCAAGGGGCTGATGACCCCTCCGCCTTCAATATTATTACGTAAGGATCACGGAGATAAAATAAAAGTACGTCCCAGAGGCCCTGAGGGGACAGGCGTCTATAACATCTCCTGGCCAAACCCCATTTTGCAGAGCCAGGAGCCAAAGATTATCCCCTGGAAGGCTCCAGGACCAAAAGGCAATCACTGAAGCCGCTCTCCTCCCTGAACACTCGCCAGGGAGAAGACGCCATTCCTCTCTTGGGAGCTGAACACGTACTGCCTGATTCCTTGTGGAATAGAGAAAGTACTGTGGACTGGTTCCCACTGTTATCATCATGAAGGGTGGATGATCTTTCGCTCAGGGCAGAAAACATAAAACAAGGAGTGTGTGAAGCCTGCAGTCGCAGGCTATTGCAGGCTATTGTAGGCTCACCTCATCATCTGGGGAGAAACGGTGGTGTTGGCTGTCTATATTCTATATATTGGCACCTCTTGCTCCCACATTGTTTGCACTTTCTTATTTCGATGTGCGTGTGTTTATGTCCCAGTTAGACTAAAATATAGAGCTTACTTGCACATGTACCCAACTTTTTTTTGGCACCTTTTGCTTTCGTATTATAGATGCAGTTTATCAATTCGTATGCGCCTACAAATTGTGAAAGCTACGATTTTTTGCATTTTTCATTCCCCACATGATTTAGACGTGCGGCTTGTGTACATTTCTGCAAGAACGTTGAGTGATAGCGAACAGCCGTGTGCCCCCGATCTCTGT